TCAAACAACAAATCATAGAAACAACCAATTTCATCAAAGAGAATGACAATGAGACAACATACTAAAATTTATAGGAGGCAGCCAAAGCAGTTCTTGGGGGAAATTTTCTATCTCTGAATGCTTACATGGATAAAATAGAGAAAGAGGAGATCAGTGAATTGGGCATTCAAATAAAAAAGCTAGAAAAATAACAAATTAAAAATCCTCAAATACCAAATTTGAAATTATGAAAAACAAAAGAGAGATTAATAAAATCGAAAGTAAGAAAACTATTGAACTAATAAATAAAACTAAGAGCTGGTTTTATGAATGACCCAATAAAATAGATGAACCTTTGGTTAATTTGATTAAAAAAGAAAGAAGAAAACCAAATAACCAGTATCAAAAATGAAATTGTTGATGGTGATGAATTCGCCACCAATGAGGAAATTAGAGCAATAATTAAGAGTTATTTTGGCCAACTTCATGCCAATAAATCTGACAGTCTAGGGAAATGGGTGAATATTTGCAAAAATATAAATTGCCCAGATAACAGAAGAGGAAATAAAATACTTAACCCCATTTTAGAAAAAGAAATTGAATAAGCCATCAATGAACTCCCTAAGAAAAAATATACAGGGCCAGATGGATTTACCAAGTGAATTCTACCAAACATTTAATGAACAAGTTCCAACACTATATAAACTATTTGGAAAAATAGACAAAGGAGTCCCACTAAATTCATTTTATGACACACATATGTTGCTGATACCTAAATGAAGAAGAGCCAAAACAGAGAAAGAAAATTATAGACTAATGTACCTAATGAATATTGATGTTAAAATTTTAAATAAACTATTAGCAAAGAGATTATATCAATTTATCGTGAAGATAATGCACTATGACCAGGTGGGATTTATACCAAGAATATAGGACTGCTTCAGTATTAGGAAAATTATCACCATAATTGACCATATCAGTAACAAAACTAACAGAAATCATATGATTACCTCAATAGATACAGAAAAAGGTTTTGACAAAATATAGCACTCATTTCTATTTTAAAAAACACTAGAGAGCATAGGAATAAATGGAGCTTTCTTTAAAATGATAAGTAGTATCTATCTAAACTGTCACCAGGCATAATGGGGATAAGCTAGAAACATTTCCAATAACATCAGGGGTGAGACAGGGATGCCCATTATCACCACTGTTATTCAATATTGTATTAGAAGTATTAGCTTTAGCAATAAAAGAAGAAAAAGAAATTGAAGGAATTAGAATAAGCAATAAGAAACAAAGCTATCATTCTTTGCAGGTGATATAATGGTATACTTAGAGAATCCTAGAAAATCAACTAAAAACTACTTGAAATAATAATTTTATCAAAGTTTCAGGATATGAAATAAACTCACATAAATCATCGGCATTTCTCTATGTTAGCAACAAAGCTCAGCATTTAGAGATAGAAAGAGAAATTCCATTTAAAGTAACCTTAGACAATATAAAATATTTGGGAGTCTACCTGCCAAGACCAACCCAAGAATTGAACACAATTACAAAACACTTTTTATACAAATGGAGTCATATCTAAATAATTGGAAAAATATCAATTGCTCATCAGCTAATATAATAAAAATTACAATTCTGCCTAAATTAATTTAATTACTTGGTGCCATACCAATCAAACTACAAAAAATTATTTTGTGGAGCTGGAAAAATATTAACAAAATTCATCTGGAAGAACAAAAGGTCAAGAATGTCAAGGGAATTAATGGGGAAAAAATGTAAAGGAAGGTGGCCTAGCCATACCAGATCTAAAACTATTATGAAGTAGCAATCATCAAAACTGTTTGGTACTGACCAAGAAATAGAGTGGTGGATCAGTGGAATAGGTTAGATACACAGCACACAGTAGTCAATGACTATAGTACTCTACTGTTTGATAAACCCAAAGACTCCAGCTTCTTGGATAAGCTAGATACATTATTTGACAAGAACTCCTGGGAAAACTGAAAAATAGTATGGCAGAAACTAGAAATAAATCAATATCTCATACCATATATCAAGATAAGGTCAAAATGGGTACATGATTTAGACATATAGAGTGATACCATGAGATAATTTGCAAGGAATAGTTTACCTGTCAGACATATGGAGAAGGGAAGAATTTATGACAAAGCAAGAGATAGAGAATGTTATGAAATATAAAATGGATAATTTTGATTACATTAAATTGAAAAGTTTTGCACAAACAAAACCAATGCAACCAAGATTAGAAAGAAAGCTGGGTAACAATTTTTATAGCCAGTGTCTCTGATAAAGGCCTCATTTCTAAAATACATAGAGAACTGAGTCAAATTTATAAGAATACAAATCATTTCCCAATTGATAAAATGGTCAAAGGATATGAATAGATGAAGAAATCAAATTAAGTTCTTCAGATGAAATTAAAGCTATTTCTAGTCATATAAAAATGCTCTGAATCACTACTGATTAGAGAAATGCAAATCAAAACAACTCTGAGGTACCACCTTACACCTATCAGAATGGATAATATGACAGAAAAGGAGAATGATAAATGTTGGAGAAGATGTGGGAAGATTGGTGGTGTTGTGAACTGATCCAACCATTCTGGAGATGTCCAAAGGGCAACCAAACTGTGAATACCCTTTGATCCAGCAATACTGCTACAAGGTCTGCATCCCAAAGAGATCCAAAAAGAGGGAAAAGGACCCCCATGTACAAAAATATTGATAGCGGCTCTTTTTGTGGTGGCCAAGAATTGGAAATTGAGGGGATGCCCATCAGTTAGGGAATGGCTGAACAAGTTGTGGTATACGGATGTAATAGAATACTGTTGTGCTATAAGAAATGATGAGCAGGCAGATTTCAGAAAAACCTGAAAAGACTTACATGAACTAATGCTGAATGAAGTGAGCAAGAACCAGGAGAACGTTGTACAGAGTAGCAGCAACATTGTGTGATGATTATTTAAGATAGACTTAGCTCTTCTTAGCAATGCAATGATCGAAAATAATTCCAAAAGACTCATGATGGAAAATGCTATCCACTTCCAGAGAAAGAACTGTGGAGTCTGAATGCAGATCAGAGCTTGATATTTTTACTTTTTTTTCCTTTCTTTCTTGTGGTTTTTCCTTTTTGTTCTGATTCTTCTTTCACAGCATGACTAATGTGGAAATATGCTTAACACAGTTCTACATGTATAACGTATATCAGATTGCTTGTTGTCTTAGTTACAGGGCAGAGGAGCAAGGGAGGGAGAGAAGTTAGGAACCCAAAATCTTATAAAAGTGAATGTTGAAAACCGTCTTTACATGTAATTGGAAAAAATAAAATACTATTAAGTGAGAAAAAAAGATATGGCAATATAACACAGGAAAATGGAGTGGTTGTATTATACCAACACAGAGACTAACCCTCAATCATATGTCATTCTCTGAGAATATTAAGAGCCCTAGCATTGGGTTTTTTTGTGATTCTAAGAAAGTTTCTTACTTCTGCTTTTCTTCTGCCTCCATTCTCTCCCTTTTTAAAAACATACTTCATCATCCTTTTATTTTTTATCTATTAAAACAATTTATCTTATTTTTCCTAGTCCTTTTTCTGCTTTGGCTAGCCATTCTCTGACCTAGTTAATAACATTTCGTTTTTCTGTCCAAACCTATGAAGCTTGTCGTGATGATCAAATGGAAGCATGCCAAAAAGTACGCATAAACTTGTGCGCAAAAAAAGTGTACATATAGTGTGCCTTATATGGGTTGATGTGCATTGGTAGAGAGTGTGTCCACACTAAGTTCCTCAAATTGATGGAATCCCAAAGGATGGGGGGGGGGGAAGGTGTACGTATATGTGTATATAATATATAATATATATATATATATATATATACACACACACACACATTTTATGCAAATAATGTACAGATATAAGTCATTAATTTTCAACTGTTTACTCTTTATGTTTGTTTTGTATTCTTTAATGTTTAATCCTTTCCCTTTTATTTCTTTGTTTTTGTTCCTGTCTTTTGCTTTTCATATAAGCTTTTGTAATCCAAACTCTCACTTTTCCCCTTCCTTTATCCTTCCCTACTTTCTCCATACAGCAGAGTTAATTCTGTCTACTTGCTTTGCAGAAATATGGCTAGGAGGAGCAACAAGAAATCCCTAATAAAAAGGTGCTCAGCAAATTAATACTTTTTTTTTTGCATCTTTCATCTTTACTTTCCTTCCCATTCCTAATTTTAATATAAAAGGTCTTTAAAATTTTTATTACTGATTTTATCTTACCTTCTATCGTCCTTGCTCTGTAGCTTTTTGCAATTAGAAATTGAAATTATCCTCCTCATGTTTTTTTCCATACTTCATAAACAAAATAAAGGAAATTCTCCAAAAAACTTCCACTTAAGAAACTAAAAGTTGAGCTTCACTGCCATCCAGTGGATAGTACAGGATGGCAGTGCCATTTTAGGGAGACTTGGTCTGGTAGTGGACAAAGCCAGGAAAATCGAGGTTCAGCACCAGCTGTGACACATACTGATGAAGTGACAAGACATCTACCTACTCAGTGCTTTAGGTGACTATCTAAGAGTATAAGTTACAGAGAGGGTACCAACTTACATTGGAAAAAGGAGGTTTCCTCACCTGGGGGTTCCCTAGGACCAAGACAATGACTATTGCAGCCCCTGTTCCCTAATATATTAAAAATAAGGACCTACTATGTGCAAGGCAGTATGTATTCTACCGCTCTTATTCTATACCCTTCTTTATGTGAGATGGCATGATCCAGCTTGGCTGACTCGGTTAGAACATTCCACTTATGAGATCATCATGGTCACTCGTTTTTGTCCATGACCAATCGTGCAGCTTTTTTGATCACTTCCAAAAACGTAGTCAAAAAAGACTATATTAGTCTATTTTTCTTAATTGTATTAGTTGTGAATTTCTGCTTTGACATTTACTTTATTAACAAAATGCTTCAATGTTTTCTGTTTTTCACAGAGCAAAAACTACTGCTGGTCTATGTGAATCTGAACTACAAGGAAGAGCACATTTCCAAGGAGGTATAATTTTTACAAATCCTTATGTTATTCTAGGAAATAGCAAATATGTTTTTATTATTTAACTTGACCCTTCTTATAGACATAAAGACTCCTTTATCATGCACATATCTGCTCTATGGTTTTCTATAATCTTCTTTTATTATTGGATAATAATTGCACAGACCTGAATTTTTTTTTTGTATGGTGGTGAGAATGAAAAGACAATGGTTCTGTTTAAGTTTCTATGGGGCAGAGAGACTTCCTTCCTGGTCTTTGAAGCGGATAAGTAATTAATACAACTACACGTCTTGACCTTCATATTTCTGAATAGCTTGAGAAGTTAAGTAGTACTAGAAATTAAAGTTTATTTGTGATTGCTCAGACTAGGGGGGAGGGCGATGTTAAGAAAAGTGTGCGTGCAATGACATTTTCTTCCCTCTGAACTTTTATAGTAAAGAATAATGGAGAAAATGGTGTTTCTGTGTTCAAAGTACAAGCAAATGATGATCACTGGGTCTGGGTACAAGCCAATGCTCAGCTCCTCTACAGGAGTGGTTGTTCAGACTATCTCCTAAACCCACAGACAGTGGCAAAGTAAGTATATTTGGATGTCTTTAAGTATACTGATCCACACTTGACTCAGTAGGCTTTCTCTGCACTGGATAGCTATACATATATTTATTTATATTTCAGAGCCAAAGACCCAATGATGGATGAATGAATGGATAAGTAATCTCCAAGTTTGACTAAGTCAGAGAGAGGCAGAAGGATTAACCAATTCACTTGACTTCCCAAAGGGAGTTTTTGTTTAACAAAAAAGTTTTGCCTTCATTGCTGCCTTCATCTATTACTAACTCCCTAGAATGAAATTAAAATGCATTTATCGAAAGACAAATACATTTTCATTTACTCATTTGTACATAATTCATTTGTAATCATTAGGAATCTGTGAAGAAGCAAGCTGCTAAAAACCAGGGCCCTTCAGTTCAACGCATATTTAAGTGCTTTCTCCGTGTGAGAAAGGCAGTTATAATATAATTTAGAGAGCTGGCCTCAAAGCGAGGAACATCTGGGTTCAAGTCCTGAGTTTGATGGATGCTGGCTGTTTAACCCTGGCCAAGTAACTTTACATCTCAAAGAGACAACTCTAAGACTGTACAGTTGAAGAGAGAGCATTGACCTACACTGATAGTTTTCTTTTTTTTTTTTTTTTTTTGGTGAGGCAGTCGGGGTTAAGTGACTTGCCCAGGGTCATACAGCTAGTGAACCCTATGTGTCTGAGGCCAAATTTGAACTCAGGTCCTCCTGGCTCCAGGGCCGGTGCTCTGTCCACTGTGTCAAATAACTGCCCCTTAGAGTTTCCATATCCAGTAGTTCCTCCTACCAGTAAAATCACAATTTCAGGGAAAGATCTGTGAGACTTGAGTTGAGTCATGAAGGAAGCTAAGAGGCAGAAGTAGACAGGCCCTCCAAAACTCTGTACACATAACCTTCTTCCAATCTATGAGCCTAAAATGTTATGCTTTCCCTACATCTCCCAACTCTGATTTCTGTTGTTTCTCATCTTGACTTAGCATTATGACTCTCTTCTTTTGTGATCTGATCATTGTTTAAAAACTATCACTTTTAAAATTAATTATTAAATTAATTTAATTTTTAAAATATTAAGCCTGCTTTTCTCTTTTCCAAATTTTGGAAATTTTGTGCATTTTTATGTATTGAATTGGTTTCTAATTTATCGATATCATGAAATTTTAATTCTGTCTTAGATTGATGTATTATCAACCAGTATGCACAAGCATGCAAATACTTGCATGCAGATATACAAAGGAAAGTCATTTATTTACATTATTGAAATAGATATTTTTGTAATTACTACGGGGCTCAACACTTTAATACACCATCTACTTAGAATTTTCAAATTGCCTTTCTGCGTTGTTTGCCTATAAAATTTAATTATCTCCTCATGCCTTTTCCTTACCTAATCTCATTTTTTCATTGTGGTCAGTCAGTTCACTTTTTTGGTGAATCATTCAAACATGACCCCAAAGGGAGCACTACCCATTTTAAGCAGCACATAGAATGTTTTTTTACAACATTTGGAATGTGCTATTTTCAGTGAGTTTGATGTTATGAAAATGTGCGTTTGTTTATGATGAGGGAATTGTTATCACACCTAGTTCCAGCATTTGTCAGGATAAACATTTGCTGTTAACTGATTTCAAAATCTGTGATTCAACAAGAACTTTGTCAGCTACATACAGGGCATTATAAATACTAGTGCCAACTTTGTAACTGTTCTAGAATCAATCAACAAGTATTTATTAAGTTCTAGTTGGTAGCAGGAGATATGCTAAGTACTGAGGATACAAAAAAAGGCAAAAACCCAACAAATAAATAAATAGGCATATACATGATATGTACAGAGCAGAAGGAAATTAACCTTAGGAGAAAGAGTCATAGTGACTTTTCAGATGGGAAATTAATGAAGTATGGTATGAAGAAAGTATGTCAATTAACATCTAATTACATTAGTATATAATGCTGTGGTTACTCTTCCCAGGTAGTGTACTAGGAAATTCTCTAATATAAATTATGGAATAGTTGTCAGGATACACTGCAGAGGGATTGTCCATTCCTGGGGGTTACCTACATTAGTGAAATCAGAGATTCAGAATGAAAAAAAAGGTTGTCATAGAAAATGGTGTCTTTCCCCTAACTTGACTATAAGTCCTTTGTGGGCAAGTACCATATCTTACATTTCTTTTCAATCCCATAGTGCATAGAACAAAATGGGTACTAGACAAACTTCCATTGATTGATTTATTGTTATTGGGGACAGTTATAGGAAACTTTGTTGCTTGGTTTTTGAGACCTGCATCTAAAGACAGTTTTACAATAAACATCATCAACAGAATTCTTTTCTATCATCTCATGGTTCATTTCTTTTTATTATTAACAATAGGGAAGAGGAAGAACACCTGAAGATGTCAGGAAGTACAACCAGTGGGAAAGGGCGAAGAGAACCACTAATGTATAATTGTTCCATTGAAACATTGGGACCCATGAAGCATCTGAATTGGACAGCAGAAAAACATGATCAGGATGGTATAAAACTGAAGTTTGAACCAAATAAAACTGACAAATGTTTTTTACAAGAGGAGGGCCTAAGTTCTTGCATGCCCTATCCAGGAGTCCAAAACACATGTAATACAAACAGTATTTCTCCCTTCAGAAGTTCATCCAATTCTCAAGCTATGAATTCACCCCTAAGTGCCTACCCCAACCGAATAATTAGACCTTTCTATAATGGAGATCAAAGTCATTTAAACCCTCCGTCCAGTTGCCATCCTCATCAAGGTGGGATGGAGAATTGCCAGTCTTGTCCCGGCTTTCAGCATCTTGCTGTGGGAAGCTATGCTTCAGAAAATGTCAAATTGCAAAGTGCATTGATACCCCCAGAAACTCTATACAATCAAATGTTACCATTAGATATACCCATCAAAATGGAAAATGATTCTGATTCTGATAATGGAATCGATGGCTACCCCATTTCACAAAACCAGGTGTGGCTAGGGGAAAGCAATGTGGTCAAGAGACATCTTATTAGTTTCCCTAACAGGGTGCATTTTAAAACAGAACCAGAGTTCACCGAGCACTTGTCTCCTTGTGAAAATCCCAAGCATTATACTTATCCCCCTCACCATGGACAGTGTGTTGTGAGCACTCATCCCAACAACAGAGCCATTAGTAGATCCGGTAAAGAGATCTCACCATTTTACTCACCAAACTGTGCCTATCTGGAACGCATGCATGGCCTACAAGACACAGAATACTACAACCACTTGTACAGTCCCAGTTCAACAAATATGAAGGGACATACTGAGCATCAGCCTTATAAGCTACAGTGTGATTTTAAAGCTCCTGGAATGGTTCAGATGATCAAGCGTGAACCTTTGGATTCTCCTCCATGGGCTGGTCATAGCCAAAGTGGGGTGCAAGTGATTTTTCCTAAAAATGCCTTATCGACTCTTATGCCTCATAAAGCTACAGAATGCACATTCTTACAATAGTCTCCTAGCCATTTCTAATGGGTTTTTTTTAAAGCTGTGCCTATTTTTTCAAAGTGGTGTCCAGCATTTTCAAACGTATTCCCTCCAACTCATGGGTTGGCTTGAAATGTTTGTTCTGAGCTTGGAGGCCTGCCAAAGAGTGAATTTCCTTTATATGACACATTTAGGTTGTCAGATTATGTTTGAAGCCATTTTTAAAATGTGGTCTTTTTTGCAGTGTTGCACGACTTCAGCTCTGTTTAGTATCAGAATGCCAGGTGTTAAGAATGCTTAAATCTGTGTGGTCTTAAGTACAAAATATATTCATATATATCTGTATTTTCTTCAAAGTATAGAACTAGTGCTAAAAAAGTCGAGACCTGGATCTCTTCTGCACAGCCATGTTCACATGTTCTATGTGCACACAAAAATGCTAACTCTCGGCTATCTATGGTAATTGGACAATGGCAGCATGGAAAACTGACATACTTTTAGGCAATAGATTTGAACTCTTCCCACACCAACCTTTTCCTAATAACATTTCTTTGAGTTCACTGATTCTGCTTCCTTTTGTTTTCTCTGGCCATCCCCTGGCAGCAATAAACACCAAATTAGCACCAAGAAAAGGTGGGCATAAAGAGAAGCAAAAGGCTTGGAAAATAGGACTAAATGGGTGGTGAGACCCTGAAGTACGGTTTACCATATTTAAAAATAACTTTGAGCTCTATTCCTGGAAGTGATTTGTGATATGCAGAAGGATCAGCATTAGGTGAAAAAGTATTGAAGCATAACACTCCCTTACTGTTTAATACGCAGTCACCACTACCTGGCTGGTTGTTGAAAGCCTAGATGTGGAGTGTTACTAAAGTAAGACAGCCATGACTAAATGTTGCTTCAAGAAAGCCATCAAGGGCTTTTAGTGGATAGCATAAAGAGGTATGAAAAAAAGGAGGTGCTCTTACTCTTATTCATAATAGAGTTTGAGGAGAAATATATATAGACATATGGAATTTTATCATTTACCAGTAGAATCTTTTACAGAATGCTACAAATGTGGACAGGAAGCACAGCATAGTGCATAGAGGGCTAGCCTTAGAGTCAGGAAGACCTGGGTTCAAGTCTTTCCCCTGACTCATACTGCCAACACAACCCTGCGCAAGCTAGTTAAGTCTTGGTACTCCCCAAGGAAACTCCGTGAGAGTCTAAGTTACAGGTTGTGGATTTGCATCAGTGGGAGGAGTTTCTTACATGGATGAAATTACTACAGGTCTGGACAGTATCCAAAGTGGTGTTGTATATATCTGTTGCCTAATCCCTTAGGATTCCAATCCTAATCCAAAGAAGGGCCATTAGAGATGGAATAAATTAATGAAATCTATAGGGTAGTATGCTGATTTTTCAGTACTAAAAGATTCTCCTCAGGGTTCAGAGTGCATGCCAAGGATCCCAGTAGTTCAGGGTAGGTAAGCCTAATATGTGAAAAACAAAGATGGAGAATATTCAACATGAAAGGAAAGCCCCTCCCAAAAATTGTGATGTGTTCCTGTCTTCATTTTTTAATATTATTGATCATGGGATCATAGTTCTGGAGCTAGATGTTCTAGAATCTTTTATTTCTTTTGTTCACTTGTCTGTTAGGGTCTGAATTCCTGCCTTTATGCAGTTGTGATACCCTGTTCTTGAGCCTGCAACATCTCCTCTTCATAAAAGTGTAGAGCATATAGAACTTTTATAATTAATTTTATTTTGAGAATTGCATAATACCCCTTGAAGTAACTGGAACTGGGGCAAGTTTCAAAACCAGGGCAGGGGAATTATTGCTCTAGAATACCAATTAAATCCAAATCAGCTTCTATTCATTTTTTTGTTTCCTCAGATCATTTTAGTGCTTGGCTACCATTTTGATGTTGATTTATCTGAATGTATCTTCTTGCATAATTAAAAATAAAAATTATCTTCTGCCTCTCCTTGGTTTTTGCTAAATCAGTTCCACAGGTTGACTTCATGAGCTTTTATGGTGTGGTAGCTTCTGTTGGGCCAAACTTAAGTCTACCCTGGCCCTCTCCTATTCCCAGATCATAGGATCAGAGATTTTGAATTTAAAAAGACCTTAATGATCACGTAGTCCAACCCAGATTTTAACCCAGGTAGTCCAAATCCAATACATTTTCCACTACCACAATCTCCTTTTTACACTGCCGTTTTCCCTTCACTGGGAGCATTAAATTTCACTCAGTGATGCAGGAAATGACAGAGCTTCCTTCCCCTCTTACTAGTGTTCATAGTGGGCTTTTCTCACATCTTCAGTAGCACCAGATTGTAGGACAACAGAAGCTGTCAGTCCTCTTGGCTATTCACCCTCTTGTTTGCCAAAGGCCTTTTAGCAGATCTTCCTACCACCAACCCTCAGTTTTGATGATTCAGGTCCCCAAGGCCAACCTTATGATAAAGTAGAGCAGGGAGAATAATTTGAGTGTGTGTTGAGGAAAGGCTCTCCACCGTAAATTTCTCCTGCAGTTGCTTGAGTTAATATCACTTGTAACTCACTCCTTTCTGTTGAGTCTTGTCCTCTCCCTTTGGTGTTTTCAAATGAAAATGTGCCTAGGAGGAGTAGCACAGAAAATCCCTGCCATCTTGATTTAATGTATGTGTCATATTACTTTCCTTTTTATCTCACAGACCATTTCACAGGCAGCCATGGAGTGTTGGGTACCTGGGAAGCACAAGGAAGATGCTAATGTAAGGATTTAGAGAATAAAGGAAAAGGATACAGAAGAGGTTGAAAAGAGACTTTTCTACTTTAAAATTTTACCTACTTAGAAAATTTTACCAGACCTGAATCCATCACTGTCTGTATTTTGGTTACAAAACATACATTAGTCTCTCTTAGAGAGCTTTAGACCCCAAATTTCAAGACTGGAATATAGTCACGGTGGCGCCCAGGGACAAAAATAAGAGCAGTGGGTGGATAGGAGGCCTCTCGAAGGAGTAGTTTTCCTTTCACTAGAGGGGCTTCAAGTGAAGGCTAGATGATCATTTGTGAGGGAGCTACCCCTCCTGATATGATTTAGCCTGAGCGGTCCTCCAGGGTCCTTCCAGCTCTAAGATTCAATAATCCTGAAAATCATAAAAAGAAGGTGAGTCTCACCTTCTTTTGCATACAAAACCTAGTTCCTGATCCTTGGAAAATCTAGTTGGATAGGTCCTAATCATAACCACTTTTTTTTAAAATGGTATTTGAACTTGAATTTCCTACATTTGCCTATTGCCTAGATTTTCCTCTCTTTGCTTCTGATTGCCACTGTTTTTATTCATCTACTCAGTCTCCTCTCCCTGCAATGCCTGGCCATAAGCCTCTTCCTTGATAGTTTCGTATTCTGAGCTAAAAGATGAGACAGCTCTTTGAAAAGCTTGAAAGTACTACATAAGTACAAAGTATTATTCGTGTTTTGGAATACTTGTGAGTGACACGAACAACAATATGCTGTACTTTGGGAAAAATGGAACTATTTTCAGAAAATTCATTTCATGTATTCAGGCTGCAGTAAGATACTTCAAACATCTGAAATCTTATCCCCAGAACAAGTTCTGCTGTTGAGTGAAACACATGTTTCTGCAGCCTAGGTAATAATCAACTTTCTTGGCTAGAGCAACCAAACAAGATGCCCATTGAGAAAAGCCACTCTCAAGGGAGTTGATATTTTCAGTGTAAGCACTTTGTTCTTTGTACTACAGCCCAGCTTTGAAAATGGAATCTAGAAGATGAAAAATTGGTCATTTCCCTTTTCAGAAATGTGTTTTCTGTGGTTCCAATTTCAGGTTTTTCTTTTCCTGTTTTATATCTCTTTTACAATACATGGCTGAAAAAGAGAATTATAATCCATTGTAATAGTAATGAAGAAATAGGGTGAAGAAAGGAGATCAATAACATGTGCATTTTATATTTTAGCAGTTTCTTCTTAGAAGGAAAAGTTTTGTGATAAAGGCTGTTACTTTATTGCTCAATGTTTTAAAAAAACTGGTGCACTATTATGTAACATTTTTGTAGTATTTTCCACTGCTTTTAGAAAGCTTTCAAATGTATTTCTGAGACTGATTTGCATTTAATTCTTAATGCCAATGTAAAATAAAGCTTTTGTTAATATGTTTACCTAAAATGGAACTATATAAATAATTTTTTAAAAGATCATTTTAGTTTCTTTTCAAGTGTTTGTTGAATGACTGAAAGACCAAAATACCCCCAAAGTACTAAATAGCATATGTAGTAACTTCAGAAATGCTGTCACTGAAGACCCTGATGAGCTGGGAACTCACAGGGGTGGGACCAGCATAGTAAAGGCACTAGAGACCTTGCCATATGTTGAAGCATCTGGGGGTATTTAGTCTGGAGGAGAGAAGACTTGATGACATGATAGCTATCTTCAGATATTTGGAAGGGCTGTATATGGAAAGGATTTTATGCCCTAGAAGGCAGAACTAGGAATAGTGGATTAAAGTTGGAGAGAGGCAAAATATAGTTCAATGTAGGGGAATACTTGAAAATTGGAATTGTTCAAAAATGGAATGGGCTGCCAGTGGGGTTAGTGTTTTCTTTATCACAGGAGTTCTAGTGAGGATGGATGACCACTTCTCATGATTCCTGTTCAGATTTAGATTGGAGTAGGGCAGGGTTTCTTAACTCTGTGTGTGTGTGTGTGTGTGTGTGTGTGTGTGTGTGTGTGTGTGTTGGACTTCTTTGTCAGTCAAGTGAAACCTATGAGTGCCTCAGAATAATGTTTTTAAATGCATAAAATCACATAAGATTAGAAATAAAATTGATTCTGTTGAAATGTAGTCATCAAGATATTAAAAAAAGAATTCACAGACACAAATGGTCTCTCTAGTTCTGTGATCCTGAAATTAACAAAAAGAAACTGATCATTCTATGCAACTTAGCTGTCATTGCCAATAGAACCTTGACTTCACAGGTAATCTGGGAAAGGAGAATCCTGTTTACAGGATCAGTGGTAATCTTAATGGAATAGAAATAGCATGGGGTGAGAAGTCAAGGGAGCTTGGTTCTTTAGCTAACTGTCACTAGGTGATTTTGACTTTGAACAAATCACCTAATCTCTTGGAGCCCGTTTTCTTAATTGTAAAAGAGATAATACTTACCCTACCAACCTCACAGGGTAGTTGTGAGTCTGTATTATATGAAGATATGTAAAGATATAAAGAGTGTGAAAATTCATTGAAAACTCTACAGTGTCATTATGGTTCCTACTCTATATAGAGTTACATTAATGTGGCATCAGCATCATGGAAGGATTAATGGCAGAACTTTTGTGTTGCTAGATCCTTATTACCCTGACCTGTGTGATTGCAGGCAACTTACTTAATATCTAGCCAACTTATTTTCATCATTTACAAAGTGAGGGGATTGGTCTAAAAGACTGAAGGTACTTGGCTAGGGTTACACGAATAGTGACTACCAGAGCTGGGATTTAAACCTTGGTAGTATGACTCCAATGCCATGCCTTTTCCTATTATTGAACAGAATCATCTAGATATTCACCTCAGTTCTTCTTTTCACCTTGTGTTAAAACCAAGCCTTAGAGGAATCTGAATCTAAGCTGCCCACAGAGTTTAAGTGAGTAAATTTCCTATAAATATTATAAAATTCCTAAATCTTTATGTTCTTATAGGTAGAGTACTTGGTATTGAATTGAAGGTGATTCTAGACAATTCACATGGAGTGCTACACTGGAAAAGAGCTATGCATTTGTAATTAGCCTAGATTTAAATTCTTGTTCTTTTGTTTTCTACCTGTATGATTTTGGGCTATTCACCTCCTAAGTTACAATAGATGACAGTATTTGAATAAATATCAAAATAAATGCTATCGGCTGTAAGTATTCAGGGAAGGGTAGATTTGCTGTCTGCAGTGGTCAAGGCAGGGGACATGGGGTTTGAGATGGAGGCTAAAGGATTTGGATAGGCAGAGAGAGAGGGAAAAGCATTCCAGGTTGAGGACACATCATGAGCAAAAGTAGGGACTTTTGGGGCAGCTAGATGGTGCAGTGGATAGAGCACCAGCCCTGGAGTCAGGAGGACCTGAGTTCAAATATGGCCTCAGATATGTAACACTCACTAGCTGTGTGACTCTGGGCAAGTCACTTAATCCCAACTGCCTCCCCCCCCCAAGAAAAAAAACCCAGGGGCTTTTGACAGAAATGAGACTGACTTGACTAAAATAGGAGGTCTGAGTAGTGGTAGAAAAATCTCCATAGGCAGTGGGGGTGGTGGAGACAGGTATAGAATTCTTTGAATGGCAAGCTGAGAAATTAAGATCAATTTTGTTAACAAAAGAAAGTCGGAGTTTTCTTAGCAGAGGAGTAATATTACAAAGTTGCTATTCAGAGATATTAAATCTGGTTGTAGTGCATAGTGTAGCTTTGCAGGGCAAAAGTGGAGGCAAAGAGTTCAGCTAGTCATCTAGTAGTGAGGTGAAAAAATCCTTGACTGAGGTAGAAGTAGTGGGAGAATGAAAAGGAAAGGACATATATGGGAGCTGTGAAGAAATACTTATTTTGCTGGGTTCCTACCAGCTTCTTAGGGACCCATCTCCAGGCATCCTGATTTATGTCTTGCCACTGGACTCAGATGACTTCAGAGGAGAGAGTGAGGCTGGTGACTTTGCACAGCCCTGCCTCACTTAAATCCAATTCATTTGTAAGTCATGGCATCATCTTCCTAATGCCGTAGTCCTCTTCGAGAACGAAGGACAAACAACAACCACCAGCTTCTTGCCTCTTCTTCTGTCCTTTTTATATAGCCTTTGATCAGGCAATAAAAACTACAATATGATTTCTGAATTTTCAAAATTACTTTTGTTCCAACTGCCACTCTTCCCCAAATCCTTCAGTCCAGCCCTGTAGTTTATCTTACTTAACCCAACTTCTTGTAACAAGTGTCCTAGGAAGGCATTGAAAGATTACAGTAGGAAGGAATGAAATTCAATTTAACAAGCAATTAACACCTATTCTGAGCACTATGCTGGGTGATATATAAAGTCTAAGTAATACACAGCACTTGTCCATGTGGAAATCACACCAATATGGGATGGGTACTGTGACACCCAAGTTACTAAAATGTAAAATAATATATGACGGGAACCTCCCACTTTACCCTAAGGTAACTAGGTAGTGAGGTGGATAGAGTGCCCTGGAGTCAGGAAGACCTGAGTTTAGATCCAACCTCAGACACTTACTAGCTGTATGACGCTATATAATCTCTGTTTGCCTCAGTTTCTCTAACTATACAATGGGGATAATGAGTATCTGCCTTACAAGGTGGTTGTGAGGATTAAATGAAGAAATATTTGTAAAGTGCATGTAGGAGGTGCTATATAAGTGCTTATTCCCTTCCCCTGGGTTCATTATAGAAGTATAAAAATATGAAGTCATTTTTAGTCTTCATCTAGTGCAGACTTTACTCACACAGAAAAGTCACCAGAATTAAAGTAATGGAGTATCTAGTCGAATAATGCCAACAAAACAGAACTGACAGGAAAACCCAACTCCCTAACCAGTTCCTCCACCAGTAGGGAAAAGAGAACAAGAGATGTGGGCAGGGGGAGGAGGACAGGGATTGAGAGAGTGGGATAAGGGAATGATGACGCATTCTAAAACAAGTATTCCTGACCTTTTTTATGTCAGACCCTTTTGGCAGTCTGGTGAAGCCTAGGAACGCTTTCTCAACATATTGTTTTTAAATGCAGAAAATACATAAGATTACAAAGGAAACTACCTTCCCTCCGTTAATAATTTCCTATTTATCCTGCATATCTGCAGGCTTGCTTGATACATATTTGTTCGCAAGTTGACTTCCCCGTTGGACTGTGAGCTACTTGAGGGCAGGGATTGTCTTTTGCCTCTTCCCAGCCCTTGGCACAGTTCCTGGCATTCGGGCACTTAATGTTTATTGATTGATATTGAGATGGAGTTGTCAAAATGTGTATTTTAAAAACCAAGTTCACGAGCCCCAGATGTAGGACTCTCGCTCCAAAGACAGCAAGAGGGCTCCTTTGAATGGTCCCCGGCCTGGCGCCTGCGCAGCTGCGCGCCTCCTCAGACTCCTGGTCCTGGCCCCAGCTGCGCCGGCGCAGACTAGACCACAGCTCCTGCACAAAGCGCCTGCCCATTCCGGGCCGCGAGGCCGCGTGGTGGGAGAGTTGGGCATCACGGCAAAATGCGCGTGCAACCCAAACGTTGAGGTGGAGCCTCTGCACCACGCGTGGGTGGCTCCGCCGGCCGCAGGCCACGGGAGCAGCGTCCGTGGCCTCTTCTCATTCCAAGTCCGGGCCGCCCTCTGGGGCTGAGGAGCAGAGGAGCCGTGTGTGCCGTCCCTCAACGTGTGGGCCTAGATCAGTGCGGGCCAGTCCCGCCCTTAAAGCTTCCTCTCCTAACATCGTGCACCGCTTTGCGGCGGAGCCGGGAGAAGGATGCTGCGAATAACCGTGGAGTCAGCGGCCACTTCACTTGACTTTTTAATTATTTTAGGTGCAGCATGCAGCAAATGAGCATGCATGATAATTCACGCTTATATTTTAATAAGGTTTCCAAATTGCTTTCCTCAGTGCAGTTCCAGGAAGCTAATGCAGAGGCAGCTTCCCCCCATTTTACCTCTGAGGAAAGGGAGTTTCAATTAAGTAACTTGGCCAGTAAGCATAATAAGCTAGAACCTTGTTTCTCTACTCATATACCATCTACCAGTTATGGAAAGGATTTTGTTGAAAATTGGGTTTTTAAATCCTCATCTTCCCTGGTGTCAATCAATTGTTCTTGTCAACTAATTGGAAGGTGTTGCATTTTTGTATTTTTTAATAAATGGGTTCAAAACTCACTGGAACTCTTCATCTGTAAGATTTTTAAAATAAGTTGGAAGATTATGGGGCCAAAGTTGTGGCTGTTTTTTTTTAAGGTAGGCATTTATGTTTTTAATGAGTGACACAGTTACTTTGTCATGATCCTGGGCAGATTAAATATCCAAGAGGAGAAGGTGGTCAAAAATCAAGGATGAGGATTAAGAGAAATTCATCAGAATTTGCAATTAAGACATCACAGG